TTAATCTCTGTACTCTCTTATTCCATTGATTTATATGTCTATTCTTATGCCATTACCATATTATCTTGATTACTGTAGCTTTGTAGTAAGTTTCAAAATCAGAAATGTGAGTCCTCCAACTTTGTTCCTCTTTTTCAAGATTATTTTGCTTCTTCTGGGTCCCTTGCATTTCCATATGAATTTTAAGATCAGCTTGTCAATTTCTGAAAAAAGGCAGCTGGGATTTTGATAGGTATTACATTGAATTTGTAGACCAGTTTGCAGAGTATTGCCATCTTAACAGTATTAAACTTTCTGATCCATGAATATTGGATGTCTTTCCATTTGTTTAGGGTCCCTGGGTGTTGCAAATGGTTAACACACTCGGCTGCTAACCAAAAGGTTGGAAGTTCGAGTCCACCCAGAGACACCTTAGAAGAAAGTCCTGGCGATCTACTTCCAAAAAATCAGCCACTGAAAACCCTATGGAGCACAGTTCTACTCTGCCACACACGGGATCACCATGAGTCAGAGCCGACTTTATGGCAACTGGTAAGGAGGTATGACGACTAAATGCAGTGTAGTATCCTGGATTGGATCCTAGATCAGAAAAAGGATAAAGTATGGCGTTTAGTTAATAATAATGTACCAATGTTAGTTTCTTAGTTTTGACAAATGTCCCGTTGTAATGTATGATGTTAACATCAGAAGAAACTGGGTGAGGGGAATCTGGAAATTCTGTTCTATCTTTGTATCTTTTCTGTAAATCTAAACGTATTCCAAAATAAAAAGTTTATTCTTTAAAAAAGAACATTAGTGGAAAAAATTAGTGAAATTCAAATAAAGTCTGTAGTATAGTTAGTAGTATCGTCCCATTGTTAAAACCTTATTTTTGACAAATGTATACCATGGTTATGTAAGATGTTAACATTAAGTGAAGTTGGATTAAGGGTGTACAGGAACTCTCTGTACTATCTTTGCAGCTTTTCTGTAAATCTCAAATTATTCCAAAGTTAAAAATTTTTTTTGAAAAGGAAATATAGATTTGTAATTTTGAAAGATACGAACAAATTGTCCTCTATGGGGCATAATCAAAAAAGTGAAAGAAAAAATAAGATGAAAGATTGAAATTCCCCATAGTAAAGCTCTAGGACAACACTTTAAGGTTCCACCGCAAACAACTGACAAACCAATTCCTCCACAAATGAGGGAAGTTGTTCTTTTTCCCACTTCAGGGATATGGTAAATCATCATCATCATCAACATTATTTTAAAAATTGATTTATTCTTTGCTGTCATTGTTGTTAGTTGGTGTAGAGTAGGCCCCAATCATGGCGACCTTATGTTTAACAGAATAAAACGTTGCCAGGTACTGTGCCATCTTCATGATGTTGGTATATTCTTTGCTAGGCTCTTGCATATCTGAATTTTGGGGAAGGCAGTTATTGTTGCCATTATGCAAATGAAAAAAGAGTAAACTGATGCTCAGAAGTTAACGGACTTGGTCATAGAGATAATTGGTGGTACTAAGTCCTCCTCCTCTTTTTTAATCCTGGTCTTTTTACTTCGGAACCATGAGCAACGGTCTCTCCTAAGGACTCCTGTTTGGCTGAATGAGCATAGCTACTAAAGAAGTGCGTTGAGCTGGGAAGGAAATGCTGTGTAAACAGACTGATGTCTCTAGATCAGTGGTTCTCAGCTGGGGGTGATTTTGCCCCCCAGGGGACATTTGGCAATGTCTGGAGACATTTTTGTCTGTCACAACTGGGAGGGCTGCTACTGGCATCTAGTGGGTAGAGGCCAGGGATGCTGCTAAACATTCTACAATACACGGAACAGCCAGAGAATTATCCAGCCCTGAATGTCGGGTGTGCCAAGGTAGAGAAAACACGTTATAGATTGTATTTCATAAAGTTCATTCACAGTGGATGCTTAGCAAAAATTTGAGTTGGAAATTAGTTCACAGCACCAATGAAAAGGTGGACATTCTTAGACAATCTCAGTTGTACTTCCCAAGTTGTTAATCAGTGGATTACAGAAATGTGGTGGGAAAATATCAAGACCATTCCTTGGGGTCAGGGGGAAAAGCAATGCTAACAGCCTATTTCTGAACCACAAGCAGATTGCCTCAACAAAAAATAATCATTAAAAATACTGAATTTTATTAAATGTTGAACTGATGCCTGCAACTTATTTTGAAATGAATAAAAATATAAGATGGATTAGTGGATGGGAGAGGGATGGATGGATAGGTATGTGATAAAGCAAATATAGTGAAATGTTATTGTGAAATATAGGTAGTGGGTGTATATGAGTGTTCAGTGTACAGATTCTTTCCATTTTTCTGTAGGTTTGAAAACATTCATAATAAAACATTGAGAGGGAGGGAGTCACAAGCAGAGATTCACACTCTTAGTAAGAGGGGTGGGTTATTGGAAACTGCACTGCAGATTTTGTTGGGTGACCTGAGGCAAGTTACTTTGTGTCTTTATTTGTTCAGCAGGTATTGTTTGGCTCAAATGAGATACTAATATTGCAAGGTTCAAATGAAATAATGAATGTGAAAGCATTTTGAAAAGCATAAAGCGATCTAAAAATATGTGCGTTACTATTCAGATGGATGAGTGTTTGACTAATGAGTGTTTGCCTCTAGGTGTTCTTGACAACCTCCTGTGTAATGACATTAGCACCATTTCATCCTTTTGCAATTGGAAGTACAAAACACTTGACCATTTCCATAACAGTTTCTGTCAAATATTTGTGAAACACTTAGATTCTTGTTCTATCTGATTTCTAAAAAGACTCATCCCATCTCTGTATAACTTTACAATATTTTTTTCTTATTTTACCTACAGTCGGCCAAGATCTCCCCTAAGGACTGTGGAACATTGGGCTGGAGCTTTGCCATTGGCTAGTCCAGAAGGAGGAAGCAGAATGTCTGCATTGTTACACCATAGAGTTCAAACTTCAGATGATTTTGGATTAAGCAGTATCATTTACTCTGCAATAGATTATGTCTTCACCTGTCCTCTCTGATGACTGCAACTATTGAAGCACATTTTAGATCT